TTTGATATAAATCTACTCAAGGCGGCGAGTAGGCCTGTTAGAGCTTCAACACCTTTAACCGACGTGGGAGGTGTTAAGTCCAGAATGACTTTTATCTTCAGGGGATTAGCTTCGATACCGCGTTGTGTTACAATATATCCCAAGAATTTACCAGAACCGACTCCGAAAGTACACTTCTTTGGATTTAACACCATGGAATAGTCTCTGAGGATATTAAACATCTCTTGTAAATGAGCGACATGATCAGCGGCATGAACCGACTTGACTAACATGTCATCGACATAGACTTTCATAGTATACCCGATTAGCTTAGCAAACATTTTGTTAACCAATCTTTGATATGTGGCCCCAGCATTCTTGAGACCAAATGGCATCATTGTATAACAATATAAACCTCGGGCTGAATAGAAGGATGTGTGTTCCGCTTCTTCAGGATCCATTGGGATTTGATTATAACCCGAATATGCATCCATGAAACTCATCAATTCATGTCCAGAGGTGGCGTCCACCATGTAATCGATGTACGGCAGTGGATAGCTGTCTTTAGGACAGACCTTATTTAGGTCAGAAAAGTCGATACAAAGTCGCCACGCTCCAGTACTTTTCCTGGCCAGAACAGGATTGGATACCCAAGTCAGGTAATTGGTTTCTTGAATGAATTTGTTGTCAATAGATTCTTGACTTCTTCCTCAAGAGCTTTTTAGCGGTCTGGACCAAGTTTGCGTCTCTTTGAACAACAGACTTTATTGTTGGATCCAAATTAAGTCGGTGTGAAGCCACATTGGGGTCAATACCTTTCATATCTTCATGTTTCCAAGCAAATACATCTGGGTTTGCCCGAAGAAATTGGATAAGTTGAGTTCGTATTGGTTCTTGAAAATTGGCCCCAATCCGAAGTGACTTGTCACAAATAGGATCATCAAAAAAGATTGTTTCAATTTCTTCAGATGGTTCGGCTTGGTCGACTTTGCTTTTGTCTTTAAATTGAGTCCGGGGATCGAGTTCGTCTTCTTCATTAATCGGTTCTTTCCCAAGTCGTCTTGCACGATCTTGAGTTGAATCGCTTTGAAATTTCTCTTCCGAGTTTATCGAGATCTCGGGATGTTGCACTTCCGTCTCGGTAATCTTGGGTATCGAGTTCTTAGAAGTTGATGGTTTTTCTCGTTCTGCCTGAACATTTTCTGCCATTTGTATTAGAGAAGACGGTTCATGCCAAGGCTTAACTCATACCATTCCACGGGCTTCATATTGATCGCCATAATGAGTCCCTTCTCCATTGTTCGTGGGAAATTTTAAGGCATAGTGAAAGATCGAAACAACTGCACGAAGTTTGTACAGAGCTGTTCTTCCCACGATGGCGTTATATTCGTTCTTGAGATCCATCACTTTAAATGTCTCCATAATAACCTTGGAAGTCTGCTCAGGTATCCCGAACCGAATTGGCATAGTAATCTCGCCAAGAGTCGGCGTTATTGTTCCATTAAAGCCTTGTATTTGATCTTTGCAAGGTTTTAACTCGGCGGGATCAATTCCCATTTATTCGAATGTGCGGAGCATTAAGATACTCGAATATTCACCTGTGTCAACCATTATCCGATGTACAGGTATTCCGCAGATCGGTGCCGTGATCACGAGTGGATCAAATGTGGATGAGCGAAATAGCTTGCATCGTCCACATTAAAAGTGATTGGGCAATTATTCCGAGCATTGATTTTGTCTCGGAGATCAGTAGTTAGGATAGTTTTGCCCCGAATTATAAGCTTGTCGAGCATACGCCTTCATTTGCCGACGTGATTCAGGTATGTTGCCACTACTGTTGTTAACTCGTGGAACATTATGAAAACTGGGAGGATTAGAATAACCACTTTGTTTTAATGTTTCGGATTTTGCCGAAGATGAAGGATCATTCTCATGTGAGTTAAACATAAAAACTTCTTTATCAGCCTGTCTGATACATTTCGGATTGATTGGGCGATCATCGTCGTCATCATCGTCTTGGAGTTCTGGTAATCGGCCTTATCGTTTATAATCAACATTTTTTGCAAATCTTTGGACTTGTGGATGTCTGATAAGCCTTAACAAGGCAGAAAGTAAACCCAGACACTCGTCGGTATCGTGTCCTGCCGCCTTATGTTATGAACAATATTTCGTCTTGTCAAGTTTATCTTCTGGAGTCCTCACAGGTCTGGGGTCGGGAAGAATCCCTTTTTCTTTTAGTTCTTCAAATATAGTAGCGACTTCAGCTGAGAATACTGTTTGATAGCTTGACTTGACTTCATTGAGGTTCTTAGCTCTGACTTCCTTTACCTCAGGATTTTTAGAGTTCCCAAACCGAGATTTACTTTGTTTAAAGGATTTGTTTTTCTTCTTTTTTTATTCTTGCTCTAATTCTGACTTATTAGAAGAAAAGTCGAGATTAGAAACCGACATTGATTCTTCATCAATGATGTGTTGCTGAGCCCGAGCTAAAAATTCCTGAAACGAACTTGGTTTATTCTGATAAATGCTCCAGCGAAACAGAGAATTCGGCTTTAATCCTGCTATCGCTGTGATGAGCAATGTTTCAGGATGACATTGCTCCATATTTTGTACTCGTTCATTAAACCGAGTAATATAATCTTTGACACTCTCATTATCCTTTTGCACGATATTGGCAATTGACTCCTTTGGGATCAAAGACACTCGGGCCCCAATGAAATGAGATCGGTAAAGTCGTTCTCAATTGTTGCCATTTTGAAATCGAGCATCGAGGTAACGAGTGATACCACTTTTGAGCACGAGGTCCGAGAGTTAATGAGAACATCCGATATATAAGTGCGTCGGTCGCACTATGAAGGTCCATCCATGAGGTGTATTGACCGAGATGTGCATCTGGATCTGAGGTGCCATCATAAAGACCGATTTAGGGAACCTTAATTTTTCCAGATAGTGGTTCCATGCTTAGGTGAGAAGCCAATGGATTTTCAGCTTCTAGGTAGACATTTCCCGAGATGGGGGTTCGTCTTTGAGATTTTTCTGGGCCCCCTTGCCGAGTTTCTAACTCGACAATTCTTTTCCTTAATACTTCCAATACTTCCGACTCGCGTCTCAAACGACTGCTTTCAATAGTATGATGGAGTTCATCAGTCTCACGTCTAAATCGATTTCTTTCTATGGTATGACGCAAGTCGGATTGTCGAACGGGTTACGAAGTCGTCGGTGAAGAAGGCACCGGTTGTTGTCGACGACGCCCTGAATCACTTTCAGCAGTAATTTCAGGTTGAATCCCTTTTGGAGGATTATTGTTAACAGGGACTTCACCGTGACTTTGAGAAGCGATATTTTGTTGCGGCCCAAGAGTTCGCGGTTGTGAAGTAGCATGAGACGCAACAGTGTTCTTGTATGAAATTTAACAACTCAAATTGACAAACAACAAGGTGTATTTAACAAGAAATAAACATAAGTTTGTGTATTATTGATCGTTTCACAAGAGTACAGGAAGTAGGTTTTTGTATTCATAACCGAGATGTTTTTCAGTCCATGTACAATGTGTGTCATCAAAAAAGGATCTTCGTACAGTAATAAATTCTGCTATTTATAGTACGGTTGTTTTGTCTTCTTGTCCGAGGTAGATTAGATCGCATTTAATGTTGAGCTGCTTCAATAAAGCTGCGTGTAACGTAATGTGGGAACATCAATGATTATTCGTTGACTTGATGGTCCAATTAAAAGCGTACAACATCTCCTGCTTGAAAATTCGATCTTCTTGGATCTCGGATAAATGGATAATCTTCAATATAAATGACTGTGAAGTCCGTGAAGTCGGTTCTTGAAACTTAAAGATCAATCGATTCTCTTAAGTCATCTAGAAGTCGGTAATTGTTCAGTTTTACCGACTTTAGCTAAGTTTTAATAAATAACTCCAAAGAGTCATTAATGAGATAGGATGATCGATCTTTAATTAATCATAAGAAATCAAGTCAGTCATCAACAGATTGTAAATAAGTTATGTATCTAGCAAACCTGCTACCAGAATAATTATTAGCACCATATCTAAATGCAATCAGGATTCTTTTTATAAAGACAACTACAATTAATGCAATTAATAGTTCTTTTTTTTATTTAAAATGAATTTTAAAATTACCATTTTTAGTATATAATTAATGTAGCGGGAAAAGCTTTCTAAATATGATTTAATCCTATTCTTATTATATACATAGATATATAATTAACTTGAATTTGACATTGCTTCTTTGTTTTATTCGTCTTTTCGCAGGATTGGTTTTACCCCGTAAGATTTCGGACTTTGCCAACAATAATATTCTACTGATTTAATCTCGTACATTCAGTAGACCTTGTTAGCAATAACACTAATATTTTTGTATGGATCCATACCTGTTTATTGGAAAAAATAAAGCAAAAATAACTAATAGTTACACATATTATAAATGAAACGCTTGTTCTAGATGGAAGTAAAAAATTACACCAACTACAACACTATATAAAGATATTGAGGCACATTAGTCGATATAAAGATATTATCCAAATATATTTAATTAGTGAAAGAGAAAACTCATTGTCACCATTTTCTGAGAATGTATTATCAAAAGGTTGGATCACATTAAAATATTTTTTTGAAGGAAAGAGATATAAGAGAGTCACTCATAATAAAGATGATATATTTGTTTTTCTTTTTAAGTTTTTTCAGAAAGCATTTAATTAATTCAACTTTATTTGATAAAATTCCGGATATTATAAACTACAAAAGAAGCGTGATAAGGTCTTTAATATTCATGTCACTAACAACCAAACTACCGAATATAAGAATACAAAATTTTAATGGTTATACATATCTCAAGCATAACATTAGACATTGATTTTATTTTATTTTTGCTTATGAAACTTATTTGTTTATTTTTTTTCAAAAAGCTTATGAAACGTAAAAATAAATTATTTAAAAGTTTTATCCATTGATGATGTAAGAACATCTTATCAACTCAACATTTTACCGTAGCAAACCCTTGCGCAGGTCTCGCCGACAACTTGCCTTCTCTTCGGCCGTCTCTCTTCCTCTCCCCGAGAAAGCGGCTCGTGTCGGTGTGGCTATTGGTCGTTCGATCTGCTCCCAATCCCTCATGTCGTGGCGCTGCTTCAAACCCTTGGCGTCCATGGTGGTGTCCTCTGGGATCGAGTGGTGGTGCAGAGGGCCTGTAGCTGCTGTTCCTGTCCGCCGCGGGTGGTGGTCAGGTCTGAGGCTAGCGACTGGGTGTTCCTCTGGATCCGAGTCGTCTCTGGTGCTGAAACGGACGGGTCTGACGGCGGTGGTTGCGGTCTCCTTTGGTGGTTTCGGTAATCGTGGTCGGTTTGGTGTCGAGCTGTTTCGGTCTGCAGGTTCTCGGTGCGGTTCAGGGGTGGCTCCTTTGGGCGGTTTTCGGTGCGGTTCATGGGTGGCTCCTTTGGGCAGGGTCGTTGTTTGGCTTGCCCAGCTCTAGTCAGCCATTTGTCGAAGTGTCTAGAGCTCGTGCTCGAGCAATGAGCCTGTTCTTCATCAGGGGCCTCTCGTTGTTGCCGTGCTTTTGGAGGTGCTAAGAGAGATTTTGGTCGGATGGGGAGGGTCCTTTATGAGTTCAGTTTTTTAGTGTATTGTTAGTTGTGGGGTTTGTGTTTGTGTTTTGTGTTTTGGTGTTATGTTTTTTTTCTTGTTTGTGGTTTTCTTTGTGTTGGGTATGAGTTCTCCTTTTTGGGAGTTTGTTCTCCTTGTTGGGAGTTCTGTTCTCCTCTTGTGGGAGTTTTGTTCTCCACTTGTGGGCCGTTAGTTTTTTCTTTTTTATTATGAGTGAGTTGTGGTATTTAAACTCACTTTGAAATGTCCTCTCATTTCGGCCATTTGGCTGCCGACTTCGACTGCTTTAGTTGTTCTCTGTAATTAATTAATTATGTGTGTTTTATGAAAGCTAAAAAAAAGAAGAAAAAAACTCAACTTTTTTTTTTCTTTCTTTTCCAAGTGCTAGTTCGCGGGATGCCTGGTGGAAGATGCTGTGGAAGTTGAGTCTCCCAGGGAAAATAAAATTTTTTTTGTGGAAGTTATCTCTATAGGCTTTACCTTCTAGTGAAAATTTGGCACGGAGACATATTAGTCCGGATAGTAACTGTCCAAGGTGCGGTAGTCGAGAAACCAACTATCACCTTTTTTTCGATTGTCATTGGGCGAAGAAGCTTTGGAAATACGCTGGGTGGTGGGGTGTAGTTCGTCACCTGTGGAGGGGAGATTTTATCCAACTCTTTTTGGCTTTGTTGTCTGGAACCCGGGTTGACGAATTCCGTTCTTTTGCAATTGGTTTATGGCTCATTTGGTTTGAACGTAATCGTTGTCGTAAGAGGCTAAAGGCTAGGGACACAGAACTTGTGTGGGAAATTGGGTTATCGTGGCTGAATGAATTTGACCACGCCAGATGTGGTTTATCATCTGATGGGTTACGCCCAAGTTTGGATTCTATAGCTTTCTGGAGTGGATCAAGGAATTGCAACAATGGAAGAACAATGTTTTGCGATGCGGCAGTTCGAGACTCGGAGATCGGACTTGGCAGTTGGATTCGGGATTCTACAGGAGTTTGTATGATGGCCTTTACCGCCCGTATGACTGGTTCTTTTTCCCCTCTTTTGGCGGAAGCCTTAGCTATTCGACACGGTTTAAGAATTGCTATGGACTTGGGCTTAAATCTTCAATCGGTTTCCACGGACTCTATGGGCGTCATTAGTGGTCTTTCCCACCGAGATGAGCTCAACCCTTTGCTTGGAGTATTTGACGATATTAGAGCCCTGCTCTTTTTCCTCAACTGCGGTCGATGCGATCATGTGCCAAGGGACCAGAATGGAGTAGCACACAACTTGGCGAAGTGGGCGTTTGTGTCGCAAGCTTCCTATGTTTGGAGTGACTATCTTCCTATTTTCTTTACCTCGTTTTTTGTAACTCTGAACTCGTCTGTTATGTGACTGTCTGTTATTAACTTACTAGTACGTAGCCCGTACGATGCACGAAACAAAGATATTAAATGAGTCATTTCCATAGAACTTGTTCGTTAAGTAACTCATTTGATGCACGGGACNTATACTTAAATGGCATAATATATCTCAATTATATATAATCCCCGCAAACACGGGTTCACTGCTTTACAGTATACTCCACAGGACCACAGTAGAGCGGAAAATACTATCAATCCTCATTTTGTTGCCGTCGCCTTTTTTAATCGCCGATTAATATGCGATTTCTTTCCCCGCCGGCGAGATTCCCGATCAGTTGATTGGACTTTCCTAGATTTGCATGCTATTCTCACATCTGTGTTCGGGAAGCTTTTTATCCATTGAACCACGATCGGAATTTCTGACCAGTAGCAGACATTCTTATGAAGAAAGTTCGAATAAGTTTGTTCTGGGAAAAAAAGAGAGACGAAGAGGAAGACGCTACCGTTTCTTCATTACCGACCACCGCAACTTGTTAGCACATCAGCAAGAAACAAAGATAGATCTGCATTTCCTAGTAAGTTTCTTTTACTCCCTTTTTTCCCATTTGTTTCTTCAAAATGCATCAGAAGGTTTGCTACGTGTATCATAAATGTGGGTTTGCTTCGTCTATCATAGATGTCGGGTGCTGCATGGGTGTTTCCAGTTACAGAGTTATAATTTGTGTGCTAATTAATTTTGCTTTCAGTAATCAACATTTTGTACTCTCATGGAGAATGCGCTGGCTAGTGGGCTTCGTTTTCGAAGGATTCCTCGGCAATCCATTTCTAATTGCTTTCAGATGGACCCATTGGTGAGTTTAGTCTATGTCAGTAGAGCATTGTTGAATATTCAGTTCTAGCAGGTAGGGATTTTCAGGCATTGGCATTTGATTTTTGATTTTTTAAATTCTTGTTTTGTTTACATCAATTCACTTACTTCCCACCTGTTTTCATTACAAATTTTCAGTAGAAGCTTTAGTGTTATCCCTGGTTCCACAATGTGTGTATGTTTGTTGTCGCGTAAAGTTGCTAAATGTTCATTGCTTGTGTACACTCTGGTTCATTTTTTCTAATGACTCCAACTGATCTGTCCATTTTATTGATTTATTTTTTTCTACAGCTTGAGGAAAACTTGGAGCAGTGGCCACATCTAAATGAGCTTGTCCAGAGCTATGGGGCTGACTGGGTTAAAGATGAGTCTAAGTATGGGCATTACGAAAGCGTTGGCCCTGTCACATTTGACAATCAGATATTTGAGGGGCCGGATACTGATATGGAAAGGGGTTAGTAGAGAGAGGAGAAAAGAGAGGTTTTGCTATTTATTTTCTGAAGAAATACTAGAAGAAAAATGCTTAAATAGTATTTTTTTGGTCTCATATGCTTGCTGGGAATTGCTCCAAATGATATTTGGATCCTTTTTAGCATCTTTAACTTTAAAGCATATTAGATTTTATTCCCACATGTAAAAGAGGGTGCTCTATTCGCTAGATTGCCTTGTGACGGGTTCCATCCGCTCTTATGGTATCTGTGGAAAAATCATGAAAATTTCCTTTAATGGGAATACTCTTTTAAATAAAATTGATGCTACGTGCGACTTCCTTTTTTGATCACATATTTATCAGTGCTACTCACTTGCATGTTACTAAAGGATACATTTTGGCCACTTTGCAGAAATTGAGCTGGCAAATGCCAAAAGGTCTAAGGTACAAGATTCGACTGAAGAAGAAATTGCTAGTACATCTGGGAGTCATTATTCACGATCGAATGTTTACGATTCATCGAAATCGGAGATTTCAAAGAACTTTGTATGCTACTTCTTTGTTATCTTAATTACGGACAATATTTCGTTATAACATTGCTTGAATCCCTTTCTATTATGTAAAAATGGTTTGCAGCATTTTGGAGAATCTCCCCTGCCAGCTTACGAACCTGTTTTCGATTGGGATAATGAGAGATCGACGATATTTGGTCATAGAATTCCTGCTGCTAACATATTTCAATATACCAGGTCTTACTAACCCACTACGTTTGCGTGCCTGTACTCATTAAGTTCATCCATATATGTTAACAACTAATCCTATCTCCCCTTTACTTCTCCAACTGCTCTTTTGATGCATCAGTTTGTTGTTGTAGTGGGCTGAGGATTGCAGTAAAGGTGTTATCCTTGTCATTTCAAGCCGGGCTTGTCGGTGAGTTTGAACTTTCCTTAAAAAATTGCATTACTGCTGACATCCTATTTCATTTCTGTTTCTTTTTCATCTTGGGCCGTTTGAGCCTCAAGCTACTTCGGAAGCTGAAATACAGAAGTTTTCTTGTAGAGCCATTTTATGGCACAATTTGTTTATATAATAGGGAGAGAAAGGAAAAGCTTTCGGAAGATTTCATTTTCCACATGTTACCCGCTGACATGCCAGATGTAAGTGGGTGATAGTTTTCTTTCCAGTTATTCTTTATAAGAAATTCCAAAGTAGCTGATTTCTTTTCTATTTACTTATCTCCCATTGAAAATGTGCCATGCTTATCATTTTATTCTGTTTTCTGTTCATTACTCCAGTCAAGCAATTCTGTTGAGACACGTGGGATTTTCCGGGTTGATGTGCCATCAGCATCAGTGTGTCTTCTTATTCAGTTAGAAAAGCCTGCAACTGAAGAAGGAGGAGTGACTTCATCCGTTTATTCAAGGAAAGAACCAGTGAGTACCGCAACATTAAACTCATTATTGCCATTTTCTATTAAGTTGATACAAATGTTGATTGACACAAATGACTTAAGTTCAAGCTTAGATGTATCAGAATATTTAATTACCTTGGGGAGAGGAAAGATGATACATTTACTTAATTAGTCAAATAATAAATATTATCGAGTTTCCTATGTTTAGCATCTTCATGGTGGTAATTGTTATACAAGTACTTTTGCTAGAACCTTTAGTAATGAATGCAATTTTTACTTTTGAACTTTTATTTTATTCTTATGATGGATAATAGGCTCATCTCACTGAGAGGGAGAAACAAAAGCTGCAAGTCTGGTCTCGAATCATGTCTTACAGAGAGCCATTTGCTTGGGCAATTATCCCGCTTTTTGATGGTGGTATTACTTCTGCATCTGGAGAGTTTGCATCCCCCAGCAGCCCACTTATTACTAGTATTTCAAGTTCAACTCAAGAAGGTGCTGCTGAACCAGCTGCAAAGATTACAACAGATGGGACACTTGGCTATTCTGGTGGAAACTCTGTTGTAGTTGAAGTTTCAAATCTAAGCAAAGTTAAAGAAGGCTATACTGAGGAGTCACTTTTGGTTAGATTCTATTCTCATTTACTTCATCATTAGTGTCAGTTGGGAAAACCATTATCCGGTTTTATCATCTTTAAACCTCTCTCGGGAAAGAAAATAGGAAAAAAAAAAAAATGCTCCAGACTAAAATAGTTTTAAGTTCAGAATGCCCATTTTTCAGAGTTTCTGTCTATGAAGGCTTTTAGGAGACTAGCATTTAAGATTGATGCAAAAGAATAAAACACTTCATGTGTAGTGAACTTTTGCACGTAGGAACTTTTGCTTTCCATCTATTGACTAAATTTCTAAATTTCTTAATTGTTTGGTTAAAAGATGAATGGGCAAGAGAATGAGAATTATAGGTGGTTCTGTAAGGAGAAAGTGCTTGCTTAGTTTAAAATAGTATTTGAAGATGTTGTGGAGTTACAATAGGAAGTATATAGAACCTTTCCACAGATTTTGTTATATATATTTGTATTGGTTTTACTCCTTCAGAGAGCCAAAAGTACATTAAACTAAGGCACAAATGACATAAACTTTTAGAAGTGCCTTTTTTTACTTTATTGTCGAACACATTACTTTGAATTTGAAGTTTCATCTATATTTGTTGTGTTTATTATTCTTCAAATTACCATTTATTTCATCCCTAAAATTTCTACATGCTCATCTTGTTCTTCTTCTAATTTTTCATCCCTAGAAAAGGAATTGATACCATAAAAAAGACAAAACAATAGTTTACTAACTCCACTAGCTCTGGAGAGAAAGAACCTTTTGGTTGAACATTTCTGATTAATGATTATATTTTAATGTTCAAAGGTTAATTTACCACTTAAAATTAATTTGTTAGGATAGTCGCTGTTTGGCATGAAAAATATCTTTTTTGCGCACTTTAATTTATTATACCGAACAGCCCATTAGGCCTTTCCACCAATGAAAACAACATATTTTTGCTGAAATAATATTCACCCTCCCGTTCCTCATATTGTTTTACTATTTTCGTGCAAAGAAATTTGACCAAAGCTTTGCATGAGGGACCCTCTCCCTTTGATAGAAGAAGCTTTGACCATTTGGATGTTCCTTTGTTGATGCAATTGCATCATTACTACACACTATATAACTTCTTGTATTGTTTGTCTCTCATCAAATTAATTTTCCTTTATTGCTAGGATCCTAAGCGAAAGATTCACAAACCAGTGAAGGGTATCTTAAGATTGGAGATTGAAAAGTTGCAATCTGGTCTAGTTGATTCAGAAAAGTACTTTGAGAACGGAAGTACAAACAATGATTTGATGGGTCATCCGAATGTGCCTGACACTGCCTTTGAAAAATGTCCCAGCTACAGAACTGATGGATGGCAGAACACGGATTTCGGTCCACATTCCTCTGATAAAATAGAGCTGAATCGGAATGGATCAACGGCCCATGGATTGGTAGATCGCAGTGCTAGTGATGTAAGTTTCTGTATATTACTTTTTCTAAATCCTCTACTGTAATTTGTGGCACATTCATGTGAGTCTCTGCAAATCTCGTGAACTTATGTACAGAGGATACTGCTCTCTTGTGGTTGAGAGACGGTAAGAAATATCTTCAAAACTTGAATGGAACTTTTGTTTTATTTAATGTGCCTGTAGCTAATCTTTCTTAGGTTGCGCACTCAAAGTTGCCATACATTCTATCTTAACAGATTCAGGCCTTTGATTTTCGGATAACTTCAAGGAATGAGCCTTTCTTGCAGCTTTTCCACTGCCTTTATGTTTATCCTTTGAGTGTTAGCATGAGTAGAAAAAAAAATTTGTTTATACGAGTTGAACTGAGAAAGGATGATGGAGATATTCGCAAAACCCCATTAGAGGTACGTTTATATCATATGCTGTTGATGCAGTTTGGTTGGTGATACATGATCAATTATAGTGGTTATTCATCAGGCAATGCATCCAAGAGAACCCGGCTCTGAACGTCAGAAATGGGCTTGTACTCAAGTTGCAGTTGGAGCTAGAGTTGCCTATTACCATGATGAAATTAAAGTTTCGTTGCCTGCCATTTGGACCCCTATGCATCACCTTTTATTCACTTTCTATCATGTTGACCTCCAAACTAAAATGGAAGCTCCGAAGCCGGTAAGTGCTAAAATTTCTATCATACTCCTGGCTCCATCTTTAGTATCTCCACTCCTGCGGATTTTGAGTAACTCCAGCTGGCGAAGCCATATTTCTATTGTCTTATATTTCACTACTTTGTACATTTGTTTTCTTTTGGAACTGGAATTGTGTACTTCTGTTATCATGTTTACTCATTTGGAATCTACTTTGGTTATCCATTGCAGGTGGTTGTGGGATATGCTGCACTTCCTTTATCCACTCATGCCCAGTAAGATATTGGACATTCTCTGGCACGTCTTACGGTGCTTAATATTCTTCTACTCTGATCTACATGAAACTAGCTTGTTCTTCATTATTTTGCATCCAACGACTTGACATAGCTTGCTGAACTCGAATAATTACACATTTGAATTAGTCAGTTTAGTGTACAGACGGTAAATCCTGCAAGGAACATGAATTTATATAGTATTACACAAAGTTTTAAATGGCGCCACAATGGCTTGAGGCAACAGGGATGATTGAAAATTGCATCGCCCCCACCAGAGGCGTCATGTCGCCGAAGCGGGTACCTCACGGCGCCTCTCTCTTGCCAAAGGCGCACTCTCCCCACCCGTTCAGCTAAGATGTAATTTGATTAGGAAAAAATAAAAAAATAAAAAAATTGGGCTCCTCCCTTCAGATTGAAGTCATGCACCCAAACTAGGGTTTCTGCAAAGTACCTTAACAAGTTACTCAGATCCGAAAATTAGACGGGCCGACGGCTGACCATCCCATTTCTGATCTCTGACCTCTGGCCGCATCTTGCCGCCACCTGGACCGCCACTGAGCCCAGGTGGTTGTGTTGCAGCCCTGCCATTTCCTTTTTTTGGTTTCCCTTATTTTCATTATTTGTTTCCTTTCTTTTACCGTTGGCCTCCGTTTCTTTTTTTGTTAACTTTCTTTATGTGACCGATAATGCTCAACATTCAAGGCTGCAAATTGGGCTGTTTTTCCTTTCCTCTCATTTACTTTCTTTAGATTTGATTCTTTCACATTAACTTTATTTGGTTTCTTTTGAGTGTTTTTTATTTTATTTTTTGAAATTTATTTTACTTGGAGGATAATTGAGGTTGTATTTTGCCATCTAAACATAAATATGTAAATGCACATCTATATTTTTTAACGCTTGGTGGCTTGTTTGCTGAGATTCGCTTCTCACTTTTTGGCCATTCCATGGGCAACAAATTGCACATCTATATTTTTTAACGCTTGGTGGCTTGTTTGCTGAGATTCGCTTCTCACTTTTTGGCCATTCCATGGGCAACAAATTGCACAAGTGTCCAATTTATTTAATAGATTTTGGGTTGATCTTGCAAAAGATGATGAATATAACCAATTGTTGAAATCCAATGGTTAGATAGGGTTAAAATGGAAGGAATGACTAGAACAATTCAAGAGTTGTTATCATTGGAAAAGGAAAAAGAAAACCAACAAATTCATTGACATGATCTGCAAATTGTCATTTGAGAATCCTGGACCTAAGGTTTGACACAAACTAGAAGAAAACTCATCCTTACAGTTCAGATCGTGAGTCAGTAGGTCAAATGACAAGTTGTGTAAGGTCATTTGTGAGTGCAACTGACCCCATCCCAGTTACATTTTGAGAACAATTTGCATTCCGATCCTGTCTAATGACTGATGGCCGCATTCTGGTTGTTTAAAAATCCTTTTGAGCAGCATCCTACATACTTTCCATTTGAGGCGCCATACAATAGGAAACTCTCACATGTGTTACTGAGATCAAGTTGATTAACCATGCATCATCATGTTATCCATCTTCAAAATGGCTGCTTATGAGAATCATCACTGATTGAAACATTATGATGGTATTCTGTGCATTTAGTTCTTAAGCTGTGATATGTGCTCTACACTTAGGCGCAGATTTTTTTATTTATTTTTTTGTTTGAATCTCTCTAATTACAGCCTGATTTACCAAGATTTTTCTATATTATATTCGTGAAAGTAGTCTGGAAGAGTTAACATTTTCCCTTCATATCTGGTAATTGGGTTATTTGTTTTAATGTGTAAGCTATCTTATCTCTGATTTTTCTCGTAAACTACCCTACCATTCCCTTTAAATGCAAAAAATTGGATCACATTATGTTTCATTTTTTTTTTCAGGCTGAAATCAGAGATCACATTGCCCCTAATGAAAGAGTTAGTACCTCACTATCTTCAAGATAGCAGGGTATGCTGACAAACAACATGAATTGTTTACCCATTCTCTTTTGTTTTTTCATAATTTTTTTTATATATTTTTTTTTTTTGAATCTTTTGTGGCTGAAAGATTTTTCTTTGATGTGACTATCAGAACTGGCTTCAATCCTGGAAACTGTATTTCATTCTGATGTTCTGTGTTCATATTTTTTATTTCATGTGGTTGACCATTATCTGTATAGTAGTATGATACTAAGAGTAGAGACCACAAAAGTTTTGGTTATTTGGAATGGGAGCAGTGGTAAGCAAAAATAACTTGGTTGGTTATTTACATGTGAGTGGAATCCACGAACAGGAATGTTAGTGAAGTTTGGTGTTTATGTTAGAAAAGGATGGTTTGGTTTCATTATATAACAAGTTTATAAATAGGTAACATTTAGATCAGCAGCAATGATAATTGTTGTAGGATCATAGAAAGTGGTCCATAAGGAGAACAACACACTCACAGCAGTAGGAACATGTGCGTACTTAGCGTTATTAACTTTACTTTAAATGTTAATCTATTGAAGTAAATGGACTTCAAAAAGTCATTTGGTTGTTTAAATTTTAGAAAAAGATTTCCTCTAGTGAGATTTTATTCTTTCATTGTTCTTTATTTCTTTTTTCCCAACTCATTCACTAACTTTTCAAGTTGCATGTTACATCAATTACAATATATTAAAAATTGTCAATCAACTATCATCTCACATTTTCATCCTATATGTATCCATAGAATCATAATGTCCAAACATATTCGAATTTCCAAAATTATATTGTTGTAAAAGGGACTTGGAAAGCTCAATATGAGAGAGCATAATATGGTTATTTCCGGGAATGATGTACTCATTAATTTGTACTTCATTCCAAAGTAGCTGGGAACAATTTAGTCAATCAATGGCCTCTATGTTTAATGTTTGCTTTTGTCTTCAAGTTGTTGGTCTTTGTATAAGAAAGTGATTTCGAGTATAATGTCTGGTACTTTACTGCTGTTAAGTGTTAACAAATTACAAGATATACTTGTTAGTTGTGGTTATGCTATTGTGACTTGGATCCCCTATGTATTGTAGAAACTAATTTTTTTGTTTTCCTAGTCCTTCCTTTTAAAAATGTGTAGATATTTAATGGCATTTTTCTTTTTTCTGTTTTTTTTTTTTTTCAAAGTNAGTATACCTTATTTTTTTGCAGGAGAAGGTGGAGTACTTGGAGGATGGCAAAAATGTGTTTAAACTCCGGCTGCGTTTATGCTCATCACTGTACCCAATAAGTGAGCGGATTAGAGACTTCTTCCTTGAATATGATCGGCACATTCTTCGGACAAGTCCACCTTGGGGATCTGAGCTTCTTGAGGTTTAATTTGTGATCCTGATTTGTATCTTTTTCTCTTTGTAAAAATGGACAATAACGTGCATCTACTTTTATTCGGTAGAGTTGAGAGAAGTCAAGTATTCTTTAAATCTTTACCAAGTGATTTAATTAGCTAAAGATGTATTTCTCGCTTAATATTGTTGAATTTTGAAACTCACTTAACGTAGTTGTTAAAGGCGCAAGGTCACCCAGAGCCTGAGGAGCAAGGCGCTACACGAGGCATACACCTCGTCTAAGAGAGGAGTAGAACAATGCATATAATAAAGAAATGGAGTTGATAGCATAGTTATGCATAAAGTCAAAAACTATATATACAGATATAATTATAGATCTCACCAAGAAATAAGATTTATAACATATATTTTATGGAACAAACTTTAGACACCCATCAACCAGAACGATGAGGACCATTACTTTAGTTCATTCATCATATTAATTTCTCAGTACTAGTTACTAAACTACTACTACAAAGAGGCATGAAACAATGTGCAGGAACTTCTCCACATATTTGTCTAGATGATCAAGAATGTTGTTGCCACAGAATCCCTGATACATGGATATTTGAATGATGGATCTGCTATTTTAATACTTGAACTCCTAACTTTTCTTGTAGGCAATCAACAGTCTGAAGAATGTTGATTCGACAGCTTTGCTTCAGTTCCTTCAGCCTATCTTAAACATGCTTCTCCACCTAATAGGCAATGGTGGAGAGACTTTACAGGTGAAAAAATAGACTAGATTTCTCATCTCTTTATCTTTCATGAGAAATGTTTTTCTTATTTTCTTGCTATGTTTACTTTTGGCCTTCAAAAATAAGATTGTCTGTATATCATATATTTCTTTATGTTTTTCCCTGTTCAGGTTGCAGCTTTCAGAGCCATGGTTAATATTTTAACACGGTATGATCTATAGAATTCGTGTAGTTGTATAAATTGTTTTAATGAACTACGAGTTTTTTATGTAAATATCACTCACCACGTAAATGGTCAGCAGATGAACCATTGCTGCATCTTTGAGTTTTGTTCTGTGCTATATTGGATTTCTGGTAATGCAGTGTTTTGTTCCACAGGGTGCAGCAAGAGTCAGTTGATGATGGTGAAAGAAATATTTTCCTGGTGAACTATGTTGACTTTGCTTTTGATGATTTTGGGGGCCGTCTGCCACCAGTGTACCCTGGTTTATCCACAGTTTGGGGAAGTTTGGCTCGCAGCAAGGTAACAAGTTAGGGATGAGATGGTTTTTGCTTTGCTTTGTCGAAGTATTTTTTGAAATAAACAAGGTTGAAGAAAATAATGAAGAAGAATTTTTAGTGGTATTAGAAGTTCACTCCTCATCCATAATCCATGAGTTGACATGACGGACATGGATGCAGAGAAAGCGTAAAGATAGTCATGATGTTCCATTGATTTTGAGAATACCTGGTAGAACACAAGGAAATATATTATTCAAAGTGAAAATTCACTGATTAAAAGTGAATACCGGAAGAACAAATATAAGACACCAATGGGGTGGACGAACATTTTATACTAGAAATTATAATTGGTGGACCAGAAAAAAGAACATACTGAATTATCCTGATTAATAAATAGCAATAGCTAATAAAATTTATGTATCATTATATCTAATAAGAATTTAAGTGTATGTATTTTCACCAATGGGGTGTGCTCTTGGGTGAAGAATCAGGTGACAGGTCACCCTATATAAACTTGTAAACCACTCAGATGGCGATTGGATATCAAAATTTTCCATGGACAAACTTTTTTCCTTTAAATTTTGATTGGATAAAAATATTTGCAAAAAATGCACTCTCATTCTCACTTTTTTCTCTTTAATGTCATCAACATAATTTAAAAATAAAAACCATTTGTTACTATACATTTCCCAACAAAAAAACCACTTGCCCACTCACATTTATAAATACCAATCATTATCAATCATATTTTATTTATTTTATATTCACAACTTTAATCATTACATTGTTATCTTATACCAATTCACAATCTCAAGAAATTTTCATACATTTCCCTATTTTTCCACTTCTCCATCTCTTACCGAGTGAGTAAAAAAATTCTGTATCCAATCGCTACCACATATACTCATTCCTTGTTTCTCTGACTCAATGACTTTGGATTAGGCCAAAGGTTACCGTGTTGGGCCTGTTTATGATGATGTATTGGCTATGGCGTGGTTTTTCCTTGAACTCATTGTCAAATCCATGGCTTTGGAGCAGACTCGGTTGTTGTATCACAACCTTCCATCTGGTAATTTCTTAGCAGATACCGTTGCATTGTTTATTGTTTTAAGTGACATTTGTTCTAACTATTTGGTTCCTTCTGTTTCGACTTTCGATGAATAATAACCAATGGTCAGTTACTTTATTAGATAATGAATTCTTCAATAGAGGTTAAATAAATTGACGAGGGGAGATTTAAGTATGTAAAATTTCTGTGATGGAAGATTGTATAATGAATCAATTTAATATGTTCCATTTTAGGTCATTGTAAATTTGCAGGATTACTGGAGGCTATCTGTAAAATAAGACATGTATGAGCTGTAATTGAATAGCTCTAGTTGCATATATATGACGCACATGACAATTCCAATTGCCAAATATATTGTTTTAGTAATATCAATGTGAAAGTGTTGGTTTGCATTTTTCCAATAACTTCTTATAGAAAGTAAAAATTATATTCTCTTGGGTAATGTACCAATAAATTCTACTCAGTCATGTGGTTCTTTGTACTTATTCCTTTTGTAATAAATTGTTTTGTTTCTTACATGAACAAAAATATTCCAAAACTTACAATGAAAGGAAAGAAAGCTTTCCATATTTTCACCAGGATCTATTTATGAGCCCTTTGAAGTCGCCGATTGAATCTCTAACTCTGTATTTCTTATTAGGCCCTTCTTTATGATATATTTTTCCAGCATATTTTCACCAGGATCTATTTATGAGTCCTTTGAAGTCACCGATTGAATCTCTAACTCCGTATTTCTTATTAGGCCCTTCTTTATGATATATTTTTCCAGAGGGAATAGACTTCTCTATCCATATGTTTTATTGAGATTTCCATATAATAATGTCAGTTAAGCTAGAAGTTTCGGTTATTTTTCTTTTAATGGATAGTTGACTGCTTATTATTCAAATCAATCTTTGTCTTCTCATCTAAAGGTTCATAAAATTGCATCAGAATTTCTTGTTTGGGAGTTTCTGATCACTGATCAATTGATTTGAGATTTCACTAGTCAAAATAGTGAAGTCTCCTATTGTGGCACATCATGAATTTAAAGAAAAGTAATGTGAAATTTGCTTTCTTCAAAAAAGAAGGTTGCTTATCTCTGAAAATAAAGTGTGGTATTACTTGCTAGGGTTTAGGGTAATTTAATCTTGAAAGAGGATTATTACTAGAAGAATTTAAATAGTCAATGGTGGGTGTGCAAATAGCTTGAGAAGTTGTATGATATGAAGTTGCATGAGCCCAACTAAAAGAATCAATATCATGGATTTTCAATAACAGTGAATGGAGAGCATTTAACAATGTTGGCATATTGAGTATGTTATACATGATGTCATTCATGCCTACTTTAGTTAGGTTGGTCCATGTACTTGCATTAGCAGTTTGATGTTCTTGATACCATGCACTTAAGAACTTTTTTCCGTTTGTAGGGGAAGATGTTCCTCCAATGCAGTTGAAGGATGGCGTCTTTAGGTGTATAATGCAATTGTATGATTGCCTGTTAACAGAAGTGCACGAGCGTTGCAAAAAGGGTCTAGGTCTGGCCAAGTATCTAAATAGTAGTTTGGCCTTCTTTTGTTATGATCTTCTGTCTACAGTTGAGCCTCGCCAAGTCTTTGAACTGGTATGGTTACTCAAAAAGTTATTATTATGATAATTTGACTTCCATTGAACACTTGATTTTGTATGTTTTTCTACATATAGATAACTGCAATAATTTTTCCTTCAACTCACTCTGGGTAAACACTTTCTAGAACCTAGATGTTTTTCAACTTGAAAAAGACCAATCGAGAGCACAAACTATATCATGGTAGTAAAGTATGGTTGTTGTCAATTGGCATTACATCATTGTTAGAAGTTATGTTTGTCCCTCATATATTAGTTACTTGGTTGTTATTGTGTATAAATGTGGGTTGGGCACCCTCTCCCTTTGAGCTAGCTTATGTGGATGAATTCTACCCAGGTCCATTTATCATGGTGTCAGAGCTACGTTTTGTTTGTTTGGAGACAATGTTGGATTTGGACTCGACCCATTCGATTTGGCACGTAGCATGTGAGGGCGAGTGTTAGAAACTATGTTTGTTCCACATTGATTAGTTACTGAGTTGTTATTGTGTATAAATGTGGGTTGGGCACCCTCCCCTGTTGAGGTAGCCTGTGGGGATGAGTTAGATCTAGGCCCATTTGTCAATTATGTTTTGATTCGGCTACAATTGCATATTCTATGTTTACCCTGCGATGCGATAAGTTGTGAAAGCAACATTAGTTTATTTTCAGTGGGTTCTCTGCACTCTCATAAAAGCTGTTGCATCTCCCATTCAAAGAGCTGTATCTCTTAGTTTCCTTGCTTTTCCTGAGTATGCTATAAGCCTATCGCCTCCCAACAGCTTCTGTACATATTACTTCTTTGTGCAAAGTCTTTTGACCATGTGAGGTTCCCTCAAAGATCGACTTAGGCTTAAGTAAATTTTATTTCTGTATCTCGGTTAAATGAACACCTTAATAGATGTACAAGATCTGGGTGCAATAGTTGTGCAAAAAGGTAGAAAATTCAATAAGATTCGTTCTTGATTAGTTTATATCTGAAGCGCTCTCTCAGGGTAGAAGGGGTGATGTCTTTTTGTTGTAATAGTGGCGTTATTGGTGCATGTGGATTTTTATAATAATTAATCTGTTGTTTACAGGTGTCTTTGTACCTTGACAAGTTCTCGGGGGTGTGTCAACCAGTGCTGCATGATTGCAAGCTTACATTTTTGCAGATTTTATGTGATCATGATCTATTTGTAGAAATGCCTGGGAGAGACCCTTCTGATAGGTGATATTGAAACTCCGATTACAAATATCGAAGGAGTTGTTTCCTTTTGCTTTAATTATTTCCATACTGGTTTTAGTATGTGACAGAGAGATGAGACCTATACAAGAATTTTGATCATGCTCAATATGTAAAATATTAAGAAAATTCTATCAGTCTTTTTGAAATATGGCATAGAGTATCTACTTGTGATGCTCATTATCATATGCAGAGTAGTCAAAATGACGTGATAATATTTATGCTCATGATGTAGTACTCCCTAATTTTGTTTGTCCTTGACTTCCTTGTTTTAGTTGTGATATATCTAATGTGGTGCTTCGTTTATCACAGAAATTATCTTTCATCTATTCTTATACAAGAGATTTTCCTCACGTGGGACCATGAGGATTTATCTATGCGGGCCAAGGTGAGTGCAATACCGTGTAATGGCTAGTTAGATAAGTTTTTCATTATTGATTCTGTATTTCTTTGCCCTTCTTGTTCACTGAGTGGTTCTTGAAGTCTAGTGACATCTTCATTTGATTACTCATAGGCAGCTAGAGTTTTGGTGGTTCTATTGTCCAAGCATGAGTTTGATGTTCGTTATCAGAAGCTGGAAGATAAACTTTATATAGCTCAATTATATTTTCCTCTCGTGGGTCAGGTGTGTAATTTATTTTCTGCAACTATATATGTTCGATTTAACCTCTTTTAAAAGTTAATATTGTTGATATTTTGTTTATGAAGTTCGGTTCTTAGAATAGAATTTTCGCATTGGTAAAATATGCAGTAGAGTATCTGCAAATGTAGGTTCATATGCAGGCCTGGCTATTTTGTGGTTATTTTGAACTGGATATTGTTGCCATTAGGCTGAGAAAATTACAGTTATATATTGCTTTTGATCCTTCAAGAATCATCTGTGTGCTTGAAGAATGTAAGAGAGAATAATTTATGTGTATTGGAAGTAAAAGGGCCCATATTTATAGGAGTAAATTCTAGGTTATAATATGCGCCAGAAATAAAAATATCTTCCTGCCATACCATGAAGAGAAACCTGTCTATAAATGAACTTTAAATATATAAATAGGAAATAAGTATGTAATAAAACCTTCAGCACTTCCCTTCAAGCTGGAGCATATATGTCAACCATTTCCAGCTTGCCAAGTTCTGACAATCTTTCTACTAATGCTTTAGGCTATGTTTGGTAAACCAAATAAGCTAGCTTATAGCTTATTTGGTTAGCTTATAAGCTCCCTGTATTCAAATAAGCTTCGTTTGGTAGGACGAGCTTTTTTAAAAAGCTCGAGCTTATCTCATAAGCTACTTTAGGTAGTTTTTCAAATAAGCTAGTTGAATTTTTTATTTCAGCTAGCTTATCAGCTAATTTTACCAAACACTTTTATCATATAAGCTAGCTTTTCAGCCATAAGTCATAAGCTATAAGCTATAAGCTCAAAAATTACATATAAGCTATAAGCTAACTTATCAGCTAGTTTTACCAAACATAGCCTTAGTGAAGATGTCGGCAATGAATATGAAAATTTGAAGCAGTGGAATTTTTCAGTTGATTACCCTCACAAATAAAGTGACGTTTGAATTCAAGGAGAATAGAAATTTTGTAGAATTAAAGCGGGGAGTATAATACCTCTTTTCCCATATAAGAAAGAAGGAAATTCAAGAAAGTATATAATGAAATTAATTGTTTAATGATTGGTTTATGCCATTATGTTCTGTTTGTCAGAAAGACTTCATTTATCTCTCCTTGCTCTGGAATGTTATTATTTGTCACGAAACAGTTGACAAAGGATGCTAAGAATAGCGTATTTCATTTTTGCATGTTCTCTCTTTTTATTATGTCAATCACTGATATATCTATATTTTCAGATACTAGATGAAATGCCTGTCTTCTATAACTTGAGTTCAAGTGAAAAGCGTGAGGTACTGATTACTATTTTGCAAATTTTACGCAATTTGGATGATGCCTCTCTTATCAAAGCTTGGCAACAAAGTATTGCACGTACCAGATTATTCTTTAAACTCTTGGAGGAATGCCTCGTTCATTTTGAGGTAACATAATTCTTCTTCGTTTCTTATTAAATTTCTTGATCTTTCTGTGCATTAGAAAGATAATGGACGAGAGAGATAGCATTGGCCACCCTGGTTTAGGTAAAGCTCAATTCATAAGAGCGATGCAAGTGTCTTTTGCCTTCCTTCTAGATGGTTTGTATTTGCACTTTGTCAGCCACTGGGAGCATTCATGGTTTCCTTCACTTGAAATCCATAGAGAACATGAAAATGTATGAGCACTTTTTCATAAACACTTATTTTCAAGTTCCCAGTGATATTTATTAACATAACCTTCTTTCAGTAGAGCTTGTGCCTCAGCGGTGTTCTGTATAGTATGTGGTTTACATATAACAACTCTTCTTCTGCTGGACTGTGTATCTATTCGTATTCTAATGGCAATTGGAATGTTGAACAGCACGGAAAACCTGATGACAGTGTGCTTATGGGCAGTAGTTCGCGAAGTCCTTTAGGAGATAAGCCCTTTATCTCCAAGTATTCCGATAGACTTTCCCCTGCAATTAATCATTATCTTATGGAGGCCGCGCGCCAAGAAGTTGGAGTATGTTATACCAGCTTTAAATGGTTGTGCTTTTTTTGGGCATACAGTTCTTGAAGTTCTAATCATCTAAAGAGCTTAATTAATGCATCCTCAGGGAACACCTGAGAATGGATATCTATGGCAAAGAGTCAACTCGCAGCTAAGCTCTCCCAGTCAGCCATATTCGTTGAGGGAGGCTCTTGCTCAGGCCCAATCTTCGAGAATTGGAGCTTCAACCCAAGCATTAAGGGAATCTTTGCACCCATTATTGAGGCAAAAATTGGTACGATGTTAGATGCAACTATACAACAGTATTTTGAATTGCAAATAGCTATGATAGTACGATATCATTATTTGCTTATATAATCATGATATATACATTTTTATCCAATCTTGTTGTAGGAACTCTGGGAAGAAAACCTGAGTGCTGCTATCAGTCTTCAAGTTTTGGAAATAATTGAGAAATTCTCCGCTGCTGTAGCATCCCACACTATAGCCACTGATTATGGAAAACTCGATTGCATTACCTCTATATTTATGATAGTCTTCTCACACAGCCAACCTCTGGCTTTCTGGAAAGCTCTCTTGCCCGTGTTTAATACCATCTTTGAGCGCCATGGAGCAACACTAATGGCAAGGGAAAATGATCGTTTTCTAAAGCAGATTGCTTTCCATCTTCTCCGGCTTGCAGTTTTCAGAAACGAGAATATTCGGAAGAGGGCTGTTATTGGGCTTCAGATACTTGTTCGGGTTGGCTTATCGTTTTTTGCTTTGATCATCAATTTGACAATATTGTCCTATATGTTGCACCAATATTAACTTTGTGCATTTTTCCAGAGTTGCTTCTCTTACTTTAAGCAGACAGCAAGATTGAGGGTCGTCCTGACTATTACACTGTCAGAGTTGATGTCAGAAGTGCAAGTTACACATATGAAACCCGATGGAAATCTGGAAGAAAGCAGTGAAGCACGTCGTCTGCGTAAATCTTTGGAGGAAATGATGGATGAATCTAAGAGCCTAAATGCTCTCAGAGAGTGTGATCTTTTGGAAACGGGATCTTTCCCGTGGTCAGAAATCAAAGACCTCTCTGATAGTCTCATTTTGGCTCTTGATGCCAGTCTGGAACACGCGCTTCTGGTATACACTGGCAACCCTAATCAGGAACTCTGTGCATTCTGAAAGCTACTATAATGACACTGAGATTTTAAAATTTTCTTTTAGGCCTCTGTCATGACGCTAGACAGATATGCCGCTGCCGAGAGCTTTTACAAACTTGCGATGGCGTTTGCTCCAGTTCCGGATCTTCACATAATGTGGCTACTGCACCTATGTGATGCGCATCAGGAGATGCAGTCATGGGCTGAAGCAGCACAGTGTGCTGTTGCTGTTGCTGGTGTGGTGATGCAGGTAAGTTTCTGTCGTGAGAGCCAAGAAAATACCACACATTCATATTTAAGCTGATGAGTGGTTTGAGTTGAGAACCTTCTTAAGGTTAAACTAACTAAGAGGATAAAATTCAATTAAAATAAGTCCACATATAAGGGTATTCTTGAATCTTCAGCATTAAATATATTTTTGTTCATACTCAACATTTGTGCATGACATTTCGGATTTTAGTTTTGCAATCACACCAGAACCAAGTACTTACTAATTTAGTTTGTCTGACCATACAGAAAGATTGTGGGATGTTGTTTATTAGTCTTAACCTGTAATATGCTTCCGCTCAACCTGTAGTTTGTTGTGGTCCAAAATCCAAATCAGGTCAATCCTTATGAGAACCTTTTTGAAACATGCATGTGAAGGATGTATATGCTCTATGTTTTACATGCTCAGCTATTTAAAACTCCACAGGCACTTGTTACCAGGAATGACGGTGTATGGAGCTGTGAACATGTAAACGCACTGCGTAAAATATGCCCTTTGGTCAGTGGCGAAATCACATCCGAGGCCTCTGCAGCCGAGGTAGAAGGATACGGCGCATCGAAACTAACAGTCGACTCCGCCGTTAAGTACCTTCAGCTCGCGAATAAGCTTTTCTCTCAAGCCGAGCTCCACCATTTCTGTAGCAGCATCCTCGAACTCATAATCCCAGTTTACAAAAGCAGAAGGGCATATGGTCAGCTAGCCAAGTGCCACACTATGCTTACCAATATATACGAGTCGATTCTTGAGCAGGAATCGAGCCCCATCCCTTTTGCTGACGCAACATATTATCGAGTCGGATTCTATGGCGAGAAATTCGGGAAGCTCGATCGAAAGGAGTATATATACCGAGAGGCTCGTGACGTGAGGTTGGGGGATATAATGGAGAAACTCAGTCACATATACGAGTCGAGATTGGCGAACGGCGCTACAACACTGCACGTCATTCCCGACTCAAGACAGGTGAAAGCAGACGAGCTGCAGCCGGAGGTTTGCTACCTGCAGATAACAGCAGTGGACCCTGTAATGGAAGACGAGGACTTGGGAAGTAGAAGAGAGAGAATATTTTCTCTCTCAACCGGAAGACGGGTTTTCGACCGATTCTTGTTCGACACTCCTTTCACAAAGAATGGGAAGACTCAGGGTGGACTGGAGGACCAATGGAAGAGGCGTACAGTGGTACAGACTGAAGGCTCCTTCCCGGCCCTCGTGAACCGGCTCCAGGTGATTAAATCCGAGTCGCTTGAGTTCTCACCTGTGGAGAATGCGATTGGGATGATTGAAACTCGAACAGCAGCACTGAGGAATGAACTCGAAGAACCTAGGAGCAGCTCGGAAGGAGATCAGCTACCACGTCTGCAGAGTCTGCAGAGGATACTTCAAGGCTCTGTGGCCGTCCAAGTGAGTTTAGTTTATTTTGTGAGCAGGAAAACAAAAAAAAAAAAAAATATGTAAAGCTGAAATTATATGAATTTAAGAGTAGATTGCAATTTTAGTCCTGTATGTTTCACTACCCTAATTTTTTGGTCCTCATCGAATTGGGTTTTTGATTTTCGTCCCGTATGTTTGCAAAAATGTTACAAAAAGGTCATTTTCATACATAAGGAACGAAATTGGAACCTTTTTTTTGCAAAACATAAAGGACCTTTTTGTAACTTTTTTGCAAACATACGAGACGAAAATAAAAAATGCGAGGACGAAAAAGTTAGAGTAGTGAAACATACGGGACTAAAATTACAATTTACTCTAAAAATTTAATCTTGTTTATTAATTATTGTTGATCAATCATTGCAGGTGAACAGTGGGGTCCTCAGTGTTTGTACAGCGTTCCTTTCTGGTGAACCTGCAACGAGGTTGCGATCGCAGGAGTTACAACAGCTGATTGCGGCACTTCTTGAATTTATGGCAGTTTGTAAGCGTGCAATCCGAGTCCACTTTCGGTTGATTGGGGAGGAAGATCAGGAATTTCATACGCAGTTAGTTAACGGGTTCCAGTCGCTAACTGCAGAGTTGTCTCATTACATCCCTGCCATTCTCTCAGAACTTTGACATGGAGATCATTTTTTTCTCCTTTTGTTTTTCTTCTATTAGTTATCCTTGTGTTGTATTGTATTTAGGAGGGGCTACAGGGTTGATTGGTTTGTTTGACTGGTTTTTAATGTTTGTAATTCTCTTTTGTGTTGACTTGGGTCAGAATGCATTTGCTTGTCCGCTAGACTTCTTTCCAATCCGCTCGACCCAAATTATATGACAACTCGTGCTTTTTTGGTACTCTTATCTTTGCGTGATACTTGAAAGAAATCTTATTCGGTCCATGTGTCGTGTGTATGTTATGCAGATGTTATCTCCCTCTTCTTCACACCATCTAATAGTTTTCACATAAACTTGTAGTATTTTTGTGGTTTGTGAATATCAAAAAGACGGTTTAGGGAGAATAAAGAAAACGAAACAAAAATCAAAGTTGAGGCACGTAATAATTACGTTCTCTTTAAGACGAAATTGTCCAGTAAAATACTTACGGTTAACGGCAAACGCTTCCAAGATACAACGACTTTCGACTTGTATATAGCGGTACTTTAAATATACAAGCCTTCGGCGAACACTACTATTGTTTGGAACTCTCAAGACTCAAATAAAAAATCAAGGAACACAATATGCTTTATGAACTTTGAAAATATAATGCAATAGCTCTTCATTTTTCATGTTTTTAATGGTTTCATTTGTGTGGGTATTTATAGATGTAGGAAAACATCTCCAAGAAGTTTAAGTGTCAAAAGACACCTTTTAGGACATACCCGAACGCGAACGGATGCATATATAGGCCAAAAGACACCTTATAGTCACCAAGGGTTGCGACCTTTCGGTGTCCGCAACCAGCTGCGCGCCCGTACTCCGCGGGCTTGTACGAGCTCATGCGGACTCGGAATCGAGTTTCGTTTTTTCCTACTTGTCCCCAACGAACCCCTCTAGAGTTCTAGCATGCAAAATGCATGATCAGGTCTTGTTTGGATTGTCCTAACACTTTTCAAAGACAGAATGATTTATGAATCCAACAATTTGAGTTACTCAAACTCATTGCTTCAACCTCACATTTCCCACAAATACAACTTAGAATTAATTTCTCATTCACCTTAAAATGGTTTTGAAAATTTTCTATGTCTTCCACTTACAAAAAATGGAATCGTAAATCGGTACAAAACCAATTTTTTCTTACAATCCCCCACATGAATGAAATTAATGCATGTATGCAATACTTGAGAGTTCCAGCGAACCGTCATTGCATCAGGATAGATAGTTTGTGGCTTTAATCTTCCTTAGTGAAATACTATCGGATACACTAGCCAGTTAGTAGCATGATGCTTTGAACTTACCGGCTGTTTGTGTGCACCAAGACAATAGTATTCACACAACAACAGCTCTAACAATTTCTTGTTCTCACGTTGTATCCATTTCGGCCTTGGATCATATCTCGATTTAGTAAGTGTTCATTTGAAGCGGCCTATTTACTTCTCACTTACAAAGGTGATTATCTTATAAAGAGTATCCTGCCTTACTCCACCCGTAGGTATAGGAATCATTAAAAGTCCTCGACTTAACCTCACCACTTAGGCAGATTTTAACACTTGACGGTTCTATAAATGAGCGGAAAATTTTCAAGTGTTTCACTGAACTGTCAAAACTTAGTTTTTCCATTGAACCAAGGTTTCGGGATCTCCGATTCTCATGGTTGGGTTACCGCTAAGACCGTTCGTTTGTTGTGAATTTTTATTAAGCTCATTCCCCTAACCAGTTTGTACAATTTATCTCGTTTCATGCTTTATGTAAACGGATCCATTAGGTTTATCTTTGACTTTACATAGTCAACCAATATAACCCTCACATGAGATAATTTTTTTAGTGAAATTAAGTCTCCGACGTCTATGTCTAGTTGTACAAACTACTTTGTGCTCTTCCAATTGTTGATTGATAAATAATCATCTCCATGAGCACAATTTATTCCAGCTAGGAATATCTTTCAGAAATTGCTAAGTCATTAGCTTCTTCCACGCCTTTAGTCCAAATTTATAAATTTGGGCATCATTGTGAATCTAGCTTTATAATTAGATAATTTTCATGACACAACTCTACCCACCTAAAGTGAACACGTAGTCACTTTTTGTCTTAGAGTTTTTCATGTCTAATACTTATTCAACATGATCAAAATTCATCGCTAGAGTTACTCGTGAACATCTTAGTTTGCTCGCTAAAATACAACATTGAGGTACCCGGGTTTATTACCAACGTAATCACAACCCTTGAATTTCTTGGCTCTCCATCTTGGTTTGCCATAAAAAGCGTTTTTATGCTTCTTACACGAGCTCGGCTCGTTCAAGTTTGCTTTAGCCTCTATCTCGCTCCATTTGGCCAAAACTTCGGATTTTCGATTATCTTCTTCTATCCGAAGACGAACTATGAAATCCTCAAGTTTCATCTCTTTGCTTTTATCCATGAGATAACTCTTGAAGTCGTTCCATAAAGGAGACAACTTTTCAATTTCAAGTTTCATCTCTTTGAGTTTATCCATGAGATAACTCTTGCAGTCATTCCACATAGGAGACAACTTTTCAACAATAACCTCCACTTAAAAGGCTTTGTTCACAATCAATTCCTCGACCATCATATCATGAAGGATTTAAATCTCTTGAACTTAATTAACCACCAAATATGTGTCAATCATATCGTACTAATGGAATTTACCGATAAAAGTTATAGTGTCGTTATCTTCCATTTTGTATGTTGCTTCCAAGGAGTTCCACAACTCCCTAGACATCTTAATCGGGCTATAAACATTATAGTGTGTTGTTTAGTCCGTTAAGCATTATATTTCAACACAAGAAATCACTATGATGCCAAGCATCCAAGACCATACGTTTTTGGACGTTAGTCTCACTTTCGGGGACAATCAAAGAGTCCTCCGAAAGTAAACGAGAGACGGAGAGAATTGTGAGGTAATAACACATCCGTTGTTGTCACCTCTTGAAGATAAAGTCGACATTGTCGGTCAAAGCATCCTTCACAGTTAACAGCTTCCCACCAACAAACTAATTAGCATCGTTGAACTTCGGCTATCTCTCGCCTTGGACGGGAACGACTACCATTAATGGATTAGTAGCCAATGTAGCGGTCGGTTGAGCACTTGATGAAGACGTTTGATTTCCTCCGGTTGCCATCTTATGAACTCACAAAAAATTTCGTCTTAAGATTGTAGTATTTTTGTGGTTTGTGAATATCAAAAAGATGGCTTAGGGAGAATGAAGAAAACGAAACAAAAATCAAAGTCGAGGCACGTAATAATTACGTTCTCCTTAAGACGAAATTGCCTCGTAAAATACCCACGGTTAACGGCAAACGCCTCCAAGATACAACGACTTTCGACTTGTATATAGCCGTACTTCAAATAAACACTACTATTTTTTGAATCTCTCAAGACTCAAATTAAAAATCAAAGAACACAATATGCTTTATGAACTTTGAAAATATAATGCAAGAGCTCTTCACTTTTCAAGTTTTTAATGGTTTCATTTATGTGGGTATTTATAGATGTAGGAAAACATCTCCAAGAGGTTTAAGTGTCAAAAGATACCTTTTGGGACATACCCGAACGAGAACGGATGCATCTATAGACCAAAAGACACCTTATAGTCACCAAGGGTTGCGACCTTTCGGTGTCCGCAGCCAGCTGCGCGCCCGTACTCCGCGGGCTCGTACGAGCTTATGCGGACTCGGAATCGAATTCTGTTTTTTCCTACTTATCCCCAACGAACCCCTCTAGAGTTCTAGCATGCAAAATGCATGATCAGGTCTTGTTTGGATTGTCCTAACACTTGTCAAAGACAGAATATTTTATGAACCCAACAATTTGAGTTACTTAAACTCATTGCTTCAACCTCACATTTCCCACATATACAACTTAGAATTAATTTCTCATTCACCTTAAAATGGTTTTGAGAATTTTCTATGTCTTCCACTTACAAAAATGAAATCGTAAATCGGTACAAAACCAATTTTTCCTTACAAAACTTTGACGCGTCGGAGCAAATCCTTGAGCCGACCGTGTATCTCTGCAATTACAGTCGATCTTGAGGCACAATAAATTTGGCTTTCTGATTATACGGTCGTCTAAATAAACATTCTTGAACTCTAAACATTGACATTGAGACATTTGGGTGTGCTTAGATATGGATTTGATTGACTTTTTATTGATTTTTTTTTTAATTATAGTTAATTTGACAAAAGTGTATGGTTAGTTAGTGAGAATTTAAGTTTAAATTAAAATAATTTTTAAAATAAAATAATTAAAGTTGATTTGATGTGAAAGTATGAGAAAAATGATTGAAACTGATGGTTAGTTAAACTTATGAGAGTGAATGAATAGTTAATTAAAGTTGATGTGATGTGTAAAAATATTTGGTTGATATTATTTAATTATATTAATAATATTGATGATAGTGGGGTTGAATTAAAATTAAGTGAAATTTGAATTTTGATTGATTTTTTTTATTATTATTAAATTTATACACAATCACAACCTTAACATCCAAACATTTTCTAACACCTTCCATCCAAACAGATATTCGGCTTTCATGGTTTTAGGAGAGTATGTACACGTACGAGTGGCACCTTTTGTATAATAACCCTTTATTCTTTTTGAAGATTTGTTGGATTCCTGTAAATATATGTCTTACCTACTTGATTACATTGATGATGATTTTTGTAGCAATATCTTTTTATTTTGTTTGCTTTAATTCGTTGGAGTTTCTTGTTACTTTAGGTTGTACGTCGAATAAGGTTTGGTGATTTTCTTTTCTCTTTATATATATTTATTTTATATGTTTATAAATGAGAATTGTTATCAAAGAAATGAATAAAATTAATTTCAAGCCATTAGCTATAGTAAATCTAATGAGGCGATCAACAGCCAACAATATACTAAATCAAGGTCATAAGCCATTCTCTTGAGAAAAAAAGTTGAAAAACTTCACATGCTATCGAAGGTTTGGATTTCGCAATTTCTTGTACGAAGCTTGCAAGAGTTATATATATATATATATATACTAGTTGGCTGCACAGCCGACTCACATTTAGTCTATAATTCTTAAATATTTATTGTTTCTTTGTTCCTTCCAAAAAAAAAAAGTTTAATTCAAATGTGTCAAACGTCGTCCAGAAGAACCTTTTGTCATGAAATAAAATGTTCAATGTCTAAATATTAATATATAAAATATCACAAGAATAAAAGTTTGAGACTCACTTGTCCGCTACATATGGAAATAAATATCTGACATTTGACCGCATCGTCAAAGTAAATTGAAATTACTTAATATTAATCAATGACAAAATCACCACTTCAAGATGGACTTTTTGAAAAGTGACTTCTCAAGATGTGTCTAATATAAACTTCTTTTAAATGGACTTTTTGTGGGAGTTATTTTTTTAAAAGTCAATTTTTTAACTACACCAAACATATTTTTATATAGGAAATGGACTTTTATAGTCAAAAGTTCATTACAAAAATGCTTCCAAACATACATAAAATATCCAACAAACACGCACACAACACACAACGGGAAAAGTAACTAAAATTTGTGTAAGTTGATGAGTACGAAAACTGATTTATCTATACATTCACATTCCTCTGGAATTGAAGAAAATGTCAAAGAGAGAGAAAGAATTGAAGTACTGTGAGCTTTGATCATTAAACACAATAATTTTTCTCACCACGTCCTCTTCTTATGCTTCTTGTCTTGGACACCAGATCTGTTCCTTTACTGCGGTTACCTCAATCTCGCATTCCCTTTCAGCTAATTTTGGCAACAGTGCGGGCCCTGCGGTTGGTGTCGTGCGAGTGACTGTCTTTAGCAGAAGGGAGCACATTATCTCTCATTTAGGTGGGCTCCTGTTCTCAACTGTCCCATTTTCTCCCAAAATCCAACGTATCACCTTCAAAATAAAGATAAAACAGATGAAAATCTATTGGTGGAAGAACACAGTTTGGGAGGGGAAGGAAAGTTGGAAATCAAAACATGATATAGCGTACTTGAAGAAAAGCAGATGGAAGGTTTGGTTCCCCCATAATTGAAGATAAGACTGCACCTGCACCCAACCAATTATTAAGATTCTTATTAGAAGTGATAAAATGAGCCAAGAAAGATATTTGATCCACACAATCAATTCAAGGAAAGAAACACATTATTTTGTAATCACTCTCATAATCTAAAATAATAATAATAACAATGATAATAATAATAATGACGATGATGATGGGAAATTAATAAAGTAAGAAAAAAATATCTGTACGTGACAAGATCTGAAACAATTAAGACCAAGAATTAACTTGTCTATTCTCAAGTCTCTCTAGCTTTCAAGCATAAAACGAGAACAAGTGTTTAGACTTCTACTAACACCTTTAATTGAACCCAACGTGACATAGACCAAGGAACTTAAATTGCTGGAAAATGTGGTATAAGATTTTCTCACATTTATCTGTATGATCCTCAACAAAACCAGTCATACCCAAAAACACGCCGGTTAGTATAGTTTGTGAAGGGCAAAAGAACCAGGAAATATACATCTTTTCACTTCAGTAGCATTTTTCCTAAGACAGCATGGCGTTCAGGGCGGAGGCAGTCATATGCTTGCCTGGGCTGTAGCCCGAGGTGCCCCTCATGCAACCATTAATTTAATAGGATGTTTATTAAAAGGCAAATATTGAGTCCCCTTATAATAAAATTTATGTTTTTTTGCCATTAATTTATATTTTATACTTAGTTTCACCTTTTATGTGTACTTTTATACAATAGTTAATATTCTAATTGTATCTTTCTTTTATGTTTAAATATACCTTTGTTTATTAATTATATACTACTTTTTTTTTGCTTATTTTGTTTATTTTTCAATTTATATACTTCACATTAAATAATCAATATTCAATGTTTATTAAGAAATCTATTTTTTATTTGGTGTATATTTTGGACTAATTTAGTGTTTACTTGGTCACACTTAAAGTTTATTAATACACAATTTAATTTTATTTTAATCTTTATTTTGCAATAATTTAGTATTTAATTGGTCACTCTTAAAATTTATTTACAAGATATGTGGGTTTTCAAAAAAATAATTTTAGCCCGGGTATATATAGAATCCTGGCTCCGCCCCTGATGTCGTTCTAAAATTTCACATCCACGATACTATTCACATGTCCTAAACCCCAAGCAGCAATGCACATGTTTTTCTGCATTTCTTTTATAAAACAGTAGGACTTGCATTGCATTGATTCTTCTGAATCATAAAGAAAATTGACATTTAAATTTTTTTCAAGTTTTGATAAGACTTATATTAATTAAAAGTTCAGAAAAAGAGAGTGGCCAAAAAATACTATAAGACAAAAATATGGCATAATAGCCTCTCCAATAATGGTAAAATATTCTTAAGTTTAATCAAGCCTGAAGCTATTAGAGCTTTTCTACAAGAGCAAAAAGAATTGCATTCTATCATTTTGGTCACATGTAATTCTTAAACTAAAAGGCTTATTATTATCCAACGAAGTTACAAAAAATAGAGAGAAAAACTAAAGTGCCTCGATATAAAAATTAGCATTTATATAAAAGCATGCCTTACACTAAATTGACACCAATTATTTCAGATGAAAGAAAATCATCAAATCACTGGCAATATTTTATGGGTTTATAGAGAAACGATTACCTTTTGATCAACATCTGGTTCTTCTTCCCTCTGATATTTATCATAAGCTTCAGCATCAAACAAGCCAGCGTCTGATAAGAAAAGCTCACAACTACTGAGGGAAAAAAAAAACACAATAACCATATTTTGTGCATAACCCCTGCAAGTAAAAGTATTAAAACTCTTCACTCAAGGTTTTACTTACCTCATGCGGTCATTCTTAGCTCTCTCAGCCCTCTATGCAGCCAGGCCAGCTTTCCTCTCCTCCATCTTTTTCTTCCTCCATTGCATGAATAAATCAGGAGTCATAGGCATTGTGGTAGTTACTTTTGCACGCTGTAAATCATAAAAGAAAAACAATGAATAACTACATTTGGTCGGAAGAAAGTAGGGAAAAGCTGCATTGTAGCTAATGGCATTACCTGGTTTTCTATCTCCTCCTCGATTGATAATATTGACCAGACACCTCAGCTCATGAAAGTGAACATGTGTTTGCTGGACTCACAACCAAAACAAGCTCCCATTACACGTATTCATTGATGTTTCTGTAATGAACTTCTTCAAGACTCAAATGTCGATAGACTTAAACCCCTACAAAAGAGTACAAACATATAAAGTGAGATGTATTCCAGTAAACTTCTTACTGGAAACTTCTTATTGAACTAAAAGAGCTACTATATGTATATTTGTATGACCACAACTGACATGTCACCAACATCTTATATCGACCGGTTGAACCGGGAACCGACCAGTACACCGGTCCGGGTTGAGGCATAGAACCGCTTGGGAGCAAAACCGGTCAACAACCGGTAAAACCGGCAAAACTAGTTGCGGTCGAAGCGGTCCAGCGACCCTGTGGTGAGCTTTGCAATCAGTAGGTACAACCATCACATATATAGCTGAGATTTTATGATTGCATTTCCGATGTGGGAGTTCCAACTCAAAAGTAAAGAAGAGGTTTAGGCCGGTATTGGGCCTGTTGCAATTGTAAATTCCTACAACTAATGTCTCTTATTTGTAACATTTTTAAACCAACTTTTTTAATTTGTTTGGGCCGTATAGTTGAAAGAATTGTTAGCATAATTTTTTTGTTAATGCTTAAAATTATTGGACCTTGTGACTTATTGAGCTTTACTTCAAAAGTAAATTAAGCTTTCCAAAGTTCTTAAAGAATATTTGCCATGCCCAAAATCATTAAAAAAACCTTTTTCCAAAAAATGAAAAAAGCAAAATAATACATATTAATTATAAACATACACTTGAAATCAAACATGTTAGCTAAAATAATTATTATATGCACTATTATTTATATATTTTTTTCTTTATATACTTAAAAATATGTCATTATACCCTAAAAATTAAAGATAAGAATATACAAAATTATATATTATACATACAAAATAAATAAAAATTATAATATTAATTAAAACGGTTCGACCGGTTCGACCACTGGTCCGACCAGTGAACCATTGAACCGGTAGCTTCACCGATTCGATGACCGGTCCGGTTTTGACAACCTTGCAATTAATTCATGTAACATCATCAATGCATGCATAACCTCAAAAATCAGATTAGAACACCCGACAAGGAAATTAAAAGCACCTCTTCTGTTCATATTATATGGGTCCTTAGGGAAGTGAGAATAAATGTCAACCATATACATTGTTCATATGAGAATGGGTCCTTAGGTAAGTAAGAATGAGTGTGTCAACCATATATTATTATCATCATGTTCAATAACGCTATTGGTATCTGTAACATTTTCATTTCTCACGCAAAGACTCATTCTAACAATAACCCAACCCCTCCCCCTCTCATACAAATATACATATAGTAGCTCTTTTAGTTCAATAAGAAGTTTCCGGTAAGATGTTGGTGACATGTCAGTTGTGGTCAACAATTATTAGGGTCGAGCTATTTGTACCACTGCCATTGTAAAGTGAGATGTATTCCAGTAATCAAGAAAAGTAAACACACACACACACACTAAAAATGGAATCTATAACTGTCATAGTGAATATATAGCATTTTTTTTAACAAATAATATGTGAAAAATCCACAATGTTATGACCAACAAAAAAAAATTGAAGTCAGTGGTAGCCTTGGAGCTATATGAATTTGTAACGCAAATAAAAATTCCTTCTAGTTAACTTAGTTAGAACTATCTGTAGCTTTGGCCGGAGAGCCTCCAGTGGTCCTTTAGGCTTTGCTGCACCTTGCTGCAGCATAAAGCATGAACAATATCCAACAAATTACATATCACAGTTTTCCAATTATTACATTAAAAGCTTCAAACTCACAAAACAAATGACAATGAAAGTGCTTAGCTTTCCCAGGGCCCAATCAGAGTAGGCACGTTCATGATCCTAACATCAAATTAATTCCTCATAAGAATCCTGAGGACTTCCAAACAAAAGAACGAAAGAAGCTTGTAACTGTACCTTAGAAATCAAAGGTGGTTTCTTAGGTACTATACCACGATAGTTTTTCTTGGTAAAATAAGCCGGCATTACCCAATAGTTACAATTTCATATATTCAATATGGCAAGATGGTACCCAATTATCACTCACCTTTAGATTTCAAGTTCCACATCTAGATCCATGGCCACATCGTTGGAGTTGATATCAACAAGCAAATGAAGCTCCACTTCTGGCCTTCTTGGCTTTACCCTCACCTGAATTGCAAACAACAAAACTTTCAAAATTACATACATATCGCCTTTAAAATGCCAGGTTGAATGCATACAGAACTCCAACTGCTTTAATGGTGAAATCAGATTAAAAGCCTGACAAATCGAACACAAAATTACTTGAAATTTTTTATCTTCTTCAATTGCTCACCTAAAAACGTGCCGCCTCCCTCCAACACCTCTCCGTCACCCTGGGGTCGATCTTATTTGACTTCACATAGCTGTCGGATTTCAATTTATGCTCCGACGCAGCCTGGGTAATCTAGGGCACGTCTGTAGCAATCAGTAGCCTCACCTAATCACCCTTCTTGGCGGCTTTAGTACCACGAGCCATTAGGGTCCTCGAGCACCGCTGCCTGCTCCTTGGACGTGGAGATTCTTCCTTCCAGTGGTCCCGTCGCCACCACCATCGGCGATCTCCAGCGAGCTCGACGCCATATCGTCGTTGTTATCCTTCTGCTTGGTTCTCTTATCGCTCAGGCTAGACAACATGGTGTTCGACTACACTGCTGTCATGACACTTAGACTGCCTCCCTGGTGGGTAGCTCTCCGCCTTCTGTCGATTAGGGTTTCTTTGGGTGAAATCTTGTATTCTTTAGAAATGGGAGAATGTGGAATAGGGGAAGGTACAGTTTGGGGTTTGGAAAATGGAGAAGAGAGAATGGTTGAATATAGAATAGAGAAGGTACGATGGGTTTGGAAAATGAGGAATGAGTGGTATCCCTAATTTTTGGCTTTTTTTGGAGGAGGAAAACGTGCGAGTGTCACAAAAGCTGACATTTACTCTATGTTTGGTTCAAGGCAAAGGGAGGGGCAGGCATTTTAATGGGAGGAAGGTGAGGGGAGGGGAGGTGAAGGAAAATAATTTTATCTTGTTTGGAGCAATTTTGTACGAGGTGAGTGGAGGGAAAATGGTAAACCTTATTTGGTTAGAAAAATAGAAGGGAAAGAAAAATATTGTAGAAATGACATTTATACCCTTAATGATATAAGAAACAAAAAAATAATATAATTTACATAGTAAGATCAAAAAAGTAATTTATTGTTAAAAATTTTCTCTCCCCTCCAAATTCCCCCACTTTTGAAGGAGGGATTTGAAGGGAAAATTGTAACCCCTCCCCCTCCAAAATTTTGAACCAAACAAGAGAAAATTAAACATTTCCCTCACCTCTCTTCCCCTCCCCTCCATTTCCCTCGAACCAAACAGTGCGTTAATTACCATTTTGCGTATTTGACTAAAAGACTGATAACACAGGCCCTAAAAATCGGGAAAAGGCAAAAGGCCATACCACGTCATTTAAAAGGCCATTTGTAATAGAAATGGTAATTCATAAGGGCTCTAGAATTGCAAAGCATTGGCACCCATAAAATGCCACATGTCAACATTTAAGGGCCTCACAAAATACCACATGTCACCATTTGAAGGACACTAACTTCTTCATATATAGATAAGAGAGATAGAGAGAGAGAGAGAGAGAGAAGAGATTATATAAGAAAAATGGATAGTGGAAAATATAAGAAGAATCATGGGTCATTGTATTCAACAAGATAATGATTATGATCAAGTCAAATTTTATTAATGTCATTAAGTGGTCATATTGTGGTCAAATATATGCATTTAACCACTTATTAAGCGTATTTTGGTCATTAACAATACCTAGTGGACCCCACCACAATTAATAATAACCCTAATTTTACTCTTACATACACTCACACCCAAACACACACTGAACACATACGCACGCACGTACCCTGCTCTCTCTCTCTCTCTCTCTCTCTCACACACACACACACACAGAGTTCCGGCCGCCCGACTGCCAGTCCGCCACATCGCCTCCGCATTCTGCCACCAACTAGTCGTTTCGCACCCGCATTCCGACCACCGGAGCTTTGCCGTGCAGCCGCCCTCCGCCTGTACCTGCCTAACCTCTGCCATTCGACGCCTGCAACCAGTCGTCGCCGCCACCAGTCACGTTGCAGTCAACAAGAGCCTAGCCTTCGCCAGTCAGCCACAACAAACAACCGGACGCCAGAGGCGAGACACACCGGCGATGTTGCAGACGCCGGCAACGAGACACACCACCCGCCCGCCGCGTCGGCTCTCACTCGTCGCCACTAAAACGTCGCCTCCACAGCCCCGCCACTCCTGTTGCAGGCGAGAATGCAGTAGAGATGTTGAAGGGACTTAATAGCAATTTTTGAAAGTTTAAAATATTACAATTGAGTTAATAGATTGAATATGTAATTTATTAAAAATTTAATAATTGCACAATATTGTTCAATGTAGTGCACTTTACTGTTCAGTGCATTGCACATTGCTGATTAGCGCATTACGCATTATTGTTAAGTGCATTACGCATTTTTTTTTCTCGAAACGATAGAGATTACTATAAATGAAATGCACAAATGTGCAAAGTTACAGCTCCTAGCTGAATGACACAACTAAGAGTTGAATAAACTGGGAGGCCGATCCGGAGATCGCCTAGAATCCGAACTCGTCAACACACAAAAACACGACACCCACTATAGACAGTTAAAAGCTCCCAAGAGAAGAATGAGGAAACATGACCGAATAGGGTAATACTCACTCATACTTGGGCAGAACAGAGGCCAACGGCCCAAACCAAAAACACAAGACCTAAACAACACAGACATAAGCAACACAAATACACGACAACAAAAACGAAATAAAAACAAAACAAAGCCCTTCCCCAGCTTAACAAACGTCCGAACCAGCAGAGCAAAAGTCGATTCCAAGAATGATCCCGGGGCCAAGGACCCGCTTCCGAAACTGCCGAAACGCCTATATAAAAACCGACCCCAACCCCGAACCAAACTAAAAAATTGGCCCACCCCCAACCGAAGGAACCACGAACCGACTCCACGAACCGGCGCTGACCGAGCTCAACTAACACCACTAGCAAGCACATAAGCACCGGATCCCCGCCGTCCCTAACACCACTAGCGAGTCGGGGAGAAGAGAGAGTTGCAGATCTTCACTCCAACCACTCCGACGACAAGTCATCGTAGCTGCCAGAGCCTCGTCTCCCCCCGCTGACGTACACCCCACCATTAGCACCGCAGATCTGGGAAGCCGACGGCCAACCCACCGACCACGCCATAACCGACGAAGCAGGCCTTGAGGAAACCGCGACTAACACCTGCGCAGCGCCATCAGAGACGCACAACATCAGGGGGAGGAGCCGAGCGGTCAAGGACGACCACTGGCCAAGCACCGTTGCTGTTGAGGAAGGCGAATCGACGGCGAATTTGAGGTGTGGCTCCGACGAGAAGGGGATCTAGGTTTTCGGAGAGAAGGGGGTATTCTTCCATTACACATTATCGTTAAGTGCATTGAAATTTATTAATAATTTAATTATAGTTCGGTCGTTGGTTATTTCATTTACTTTAAAAAAGAAGGCTGAAATTGAACTTAAATACCAAAATTTTAACAGCAAAAATCGTTAACCGAATTGACACATGAATTNACTATAGAATGCACTATGTAAACAAATAAAATCCACACTAATTCATATGAAAAATGCACAAATAAAAACGATATTAATTAATATGAAAATGCACCATAGAATCGAATTAATTAGTTAAATTGTTCGGTTAACCAAATTAACCAAAATAACCGAATTAAATTATTATTTATATTATAAAATCTTGTTTAGTATTCTAATATTTTTCAATAACATTTTATATATTATTTTTTGTTGAAAAAAATAATTTTTATATAAAAAAAATTATATAGTTTGGTTGGTCCGATTATTTCGGTTGTACTGATAAAGCTGACATTGAACCAAACTAACTAAAACTTTAAAGGTAAAAACAAATATTCAAACTGGCATATAAAATTCGAACCCAAAAACTTAGTTCGGTCAGGTTCGGTCGCCAAAGTGCAATATGATAGGTACTAATGTGCAAATTGTATAACACTAATGTGCAATCGAACTCAAAGTGTAATTATTTTTTCATAAAAATGTATTTAGTATTATAATTTTTTATTTAATACTTTATAACATTTTCGGTTTAACATAAATAATATATATATAAACTATAAGAAGTTTATTTTTTATATAGTTCAGTCAGTTCTGTTATTATTATTATTATTATTATTATTATTATTATTATTATTGTTGTTGTTGTTGTTGTTGTTGTTGTTGTTGTTGTTGTTGTTGTTGTTATTATTATTTTGTAAATAAAGTCAAAAATTCAACCGAATTAACCAAAAAATTAATATTTGTGAAAATGCATGTTGTTATGTTAATGTGCAACCTCGAAAGCATTAATTTACATTTGGTCTAATATTATTGTGCAGTCTGACAGTCATTAATGTGCATCATGTTTTATACTATTGGACATTCTGCAAATCCAAATTAAGACTGAACCGAAATAATTGAATTTTTCTGTTGATTAATCGATTTAACCTAAATTATTAAAATAATTTATTTATATTATAAAAAATATATTTAATATTTATATTATTTTTTATTGAAATAAATATAATGTATAAAAATATATATAAAAATAATATTTTTTTATAGATTACAGATTTGACCCATGGACTAAATCGGATAATCAAGACTCTTGAAAATGAGTTAATTATAAATTTGACCTATGAACTAAAATGTAATTTAGTGAAAATTATTGATATAGTAAATAAGTTACTTATCTAATTGTATAAAGTAAGGTCCTCCGAAATACACATCCTCTTCTCCTTGTTGCCGGTGAAGAACTAGACGATGTAGCGGCCACCATCGTCGTCGGCGTGAAGACCTAGATGATGTAGATGTCGTCGCCACTTGCGGCATTCGCATTGTCGTTCTCGTGGTCGTGGTACTTCTGACTTCTTTCACCATCTTTCAGCCTCCGCCGCACTGAATAGGCTGACAAGCACCTGCAAGATCACGACGATGACGAGGCACTGATTGGCCACTGAAACCATTAGTCAATGTCGGGAAGACCACATAGATTAGCCAGGGATTTCCGGTTTCCAACAGAGGATCAGAAGCGGCGACGACTTGCCGGAGTGCCGGTGGCGGCCGAATGTCGCCGCTAAATGTGTTCGGTGACCGGAGGGAAGTTGGCGGGAGTCGAGACTGTTTGTATGTGTGTGTGCGTGTGTATTCTCACCTGCCAGTGGCAGCGACGGAAGCCGGCCGGTAGCAGCGGAAGTCGGCCAGTGGAGATGAAAGCCGACTGATGGTGGTTGTAGCGCCCCGTTCTTTTATTAAAAGCATAGCTCAATTTAATTAAGTAATCATAATTATATATTTATTTAATCATTCATGTACATTTTAATCTTATAACCTTATTATTATTATTATTGTTATCATATCTTTTAAATTAAAGGTTAATCAACCTAATTAGTATTAGTAAAATATATTAATTAAGGAGGGAAAGAAGGGAAAGATCAGGACTTATTCACCCTAATTGCACTCTCTCTCCCTCACCCTATATTGGTCATTTCAATCCCTTAGAAACAGCCCAAGATTTCAGCATAATTAACCCAAATTCAGCCAAATTTATTACGTTTAATGCAAGTTTTTTTGGGGTAAGTGGAAAGGCATTAAAGTTTGGAAAAAGAAGGAAATTGGGACGAGAGGATTTCTCCCAAAAAATCCTCCATCAATCTCTCTCGACCGAGCAGGCAAATCGGCAACCAAGAAGTATCATATTTTCTGGAAAGATGTCATCGGCATGGCAAACCCAAGTGCACCAGGGTCGAGAGGAGACCATTCATGGCGAGGGCAGATCCTTGTCGGGCGGCTGAAGCAAGTCTCCGGCAATCGAGAGCGAGCATCCTTCTAGCGCTGAGATTTTTTTTGGAGGACAAAGAGTAGGCGAGCGCCGGGTGATGGAGTGTCGAGACCATAGCCGAGACAAGTTTTGACGGCCCAAAAATCAATGTTTTCTGGCCCGGTTCTTCTCCTTCGACCGGCGAACGCTAAACCCTCGAAGCTTTCAGAAAAAATAGATAATAAGTTCACGTTTTCATGTTAGTCGAATCCAAGTTGTAAGTTCGGAAAAAACAAGTATAATTCATGCTATGTGGTTCGTTGTTCTTCGTAAGTCGAGCCTTTAGCTTTTGTTTCAAGCCGAAGTGAAAAATCCAAGCTTTTTCCATGCCGAGCTCATCGTTTGAATTTAGGGGCTGAACTTATTTTGTTTTTCAAAAATCCGAGGTTAATCATGCCTTGAGGAGTTGTTTCGTTTTTCGAGCCAAATCCCAATGTTTGTAAATTCCCGAACTTCTGAAATATTATATTTTTTCGTAAATATTGTCGAGTTTTGAACCCCGGTTGCCGAGGAATCGAACACCATCGAAAACAACCATCAGCGTCGTTATTCAACCAAATCGAGGCCCAATGGTTGGTGCCCAGCAGCGCGTGTAACACCCCGCCTAAACTTACTAAAATCAGAGTAAATTTTTCGCGCTATTAATGGAAACACTGATTTAATTTTCGAAAACTCAATTTAACTTTTTCAAAAATACTTTAATCTACTGTGGGATGCTACTCAACGTTAATCTATTCTCTATAATCTTTAATCTACTATGCTTGCAGCCAAGTAAAATTCATTCTAGAATTAAAGCCATGAAAATTTACTAGAATTACACATACAGTCTGAAATTCTTAAATCTAAAATATTGTCTGAAATTTAAAACACAGGTCTAACATGCGGAAGCAACTACAAGTTCGAAAAGCAAACACAAATAAGCATGCAAACAAAAGATAGATAATTCAAACATGTTCAAATAGATACATGATATGTTTACTCATAAATGTCCTCGCTATGACCACTACCACCTATCCAGCTCACACGCCACGCGGGACTCCGTCACCTGAAAGATGGTTAGTGGGGAGGCATGAGAACATATAATCAACGGTGCTCCGCCGGAACCGGTACTGAATAAACATCACATTTAATAACAAATAATGTAATCAGCATATATATAAATAAATTGGGTTAACTATGGGAATAACGGTAAACCGGTACTCATGTGCACACTCTGGGGGTCCCATCCCACAGAAATCCAGGAAACACACTAATCACCCCATCTGGACGCTAGACTTAGGACATGCACTAATCACACACATCCAAGTCATAACT